AAAAATTTGGCTCAAAAATCACACAATAATTGTATAAATTCAGGTCAAAAATAGGATAATTATTGAATGAATTACCATGCAATAATTGTGTGATTTATTGCAATTTTTAGCACAATTATTGTATGGTCAAATATACAGAAATCGTAGTGAATTTAATTGAATGATTTTTCAACAAAAATCACACAGACTTTTTTTATAGGGTCATACAAATTTCATAATTTATTAACTTCTTTCCAGTAATTTTCTAATTCTTTTGTATAACGTGATTGCTCTTCATATGTCTGTTATATGTAAGAAAGATTATTAGCAGTGTGCACTAATTTTTATTTAATTATAAAAGAAGGTACATAGCCTGTTCCTCCTCCAGAACAAGCAGACTTTTACCAATAACAAATTTCAGGTGCCTGGATTAAGAATTTGATACCAAATTTGTTAACCCAGTAATTCTCCTAGCTCAAGAAAATATCGATTTAGGAGTTACCTCACTTTGCTAAATAAAAAACACACCTTTTCCTTTATAGAAATTAAATCTTTTTCATAATACTTTGCTTCCTTTAGAAAGTGATTGGTCCAACAATTATTAAGTTCCTTCCAATTATTAGCTGGTAATGATGAAGCAACAATAGTGTTTTGGTGAAGAAGTAGGAACCCATAATATGATGCAAAATGTCCTTTTTCTTTAAAATAAGATTCTAAGACTAAAAGTCAAAAGGATAGTTAGAAATTGAATTATTTTTATATTATAAAATATTTATTTACCCTTATGTCCAGGATATAGTTCACTCATAATTATTTTGTTAAACAAGAAACAAGAAAATTAAAAGATAGAAAGGTTTTATTAAAAATTAGAAAAATTAAATTAGAATAGAGATAATCAAAATGCATAAGGATCTTAAATACAAAAAGACACTCATATGTGGTATGACTTGGACTGACTTATTAACGTAAAAAAATAAATAAGCATGTGTAATTATAGTAAATGACCTAGCTTTTGTCAGTCTATCTCATTATTGCAAGTAAGATGATATAGAATGATATGGTTTTACTCATGATGACTATTATCTTGAGTTCATAGTAATTAGTAAGTCAATCTAAGTACTTCTCTTAATGAATATAAAACCATTATTTGTAATATAATCTAATTTATTTTTTAGAAACTTGATAAATGATACAATTTTACTATAATTTTGAATTGTTCATATTAAGTCTGATATAAAGTCATTATTTTGTAATCTAATTTATTTTTTATCTTTTTAGGAGACTGACAGTATTTATGCTAGATGATACAGACTTATATGACTACTTTAAGATATTACCAAGTATTATTGTTAGTGAGTCATTATTTGTAATTTAATTTATTTAGATTTATAGCCCTATAAAAAATAAGTGTCCAGAAATTGTCCAGAAATTGTCCAGAAAATTTGTCTAAATAAATGTCCAGAAAATGTCCAGAAAATGCCAGGTACCATGTCTGGAAATTGTTCCGAAAACACACTCATTTCCGGACACTCATTTTGTCCAGAATTTGTCCGAAAATTGACCTGAAATATTTTTTCATAAAATTTAGCACAAAAAGATGATCAACAAGTGACCATCATTATAATTATTATAATTGCTTTTAACCTAAAGTTTTATATTATAGATATATAGTATTTTTGCCTGCTCAGCAAATTTAATTAGTATGACAAAGAAGGTTATGAATGTCAGTCTTGTGCTTTTTGCATTTTTTTACAAAATTAATTTATCCTTTTTTGGAAGTAGCGTCCAGAATTTGTCCAGTTCAAATTATCTGAATTTTTACTATGTCCAGAATTTGTCCAGGTTTATCTGTCCAGAATTTGTCCAAAATTTTATACTGGACAAATTCTGGATATATTCTGGACAAAGTCCGGATATGTCAAAATTTTAGGTATCAAATTTGTAGCAAAAAATAGACATTTTCCGGACAATTTCTGGACATGCCAGATTTATTCTGGACAATTTCTGAACATTTTCATAGACATTTTCCGGACATTTATTTTTTATAGGGTAGAATTAGGAAATAAAATCAATACATGCCACTGGATAAATGAAAAATCAGGTAAAATTTCATATACCCAGATTTAGGTATGCCTAAATAATATCAGGTATCAGAAAATGTAATATTTATCCTAATTACTATCAAATAATCCGACCAATTCGAGATAATTGAGGAATTATTTCCTATTCTTTAAATTCTTTTTTTTACTGGTTTTTATAGACTGAAATTTTTCAAGTCAAAATAAATTCTTTGCTATTTTCAGCTTTTTTTTTAATACCGAAAAATAATTTTTTTTTTATTTTCGGTTTACCCAAAAAATTTTTTTAATAAATTTTTTGTTTTTATGCTTCTTTTTTAATGCCGAACATTTTAATCATTTTTTTTTTTATTTTAATAAAGTTTAACAATTTTCAAATTTTACATCATATCTAACATACTGTACATATGTAACAAATTCATGATATTCTTGTTTAATTTTGAAAACTTAAATAAATTTTAATCCATACATTGGACTGTTTAAAACCAAATAATAACCACCATTAATTTTTCTGTCATGAAAAGAAATTATTACAAGTTCTTAATTATTAATTAATCTTTATCTTAAATCTAATGAAATAACCACGAAAATAAAAAAAAAACCCATATTGTCTGATCTTGATACACCAGTATTCGATATACCGACATAATTATTAAAAATTTGATATAAAGATAAATCACTGAGAGAATATATAAATAATATTTTATGAATCAATCTCTCTAAGCATGAGCTTATAATTCTACCACTTGGGTAATATAAAACAAATATTGTCAAGGAATTATATAAAGATTTAATGAATGATTTTATAGGTTCAAAAATTCTTCAAAATTTAAATTATAAAATCTAATAAATTGAAATCATAAGCCGTGCCAATCCATTAAAATATGGAGAAATCAAAAATATATACAGCATCACACTTTAATTTCAGCTTTCAAACTTTTGGTATTTAATTGTTGTAAAACTGAATTCGTTCAATATGATTGTTCCGTCTTGACAATTTTTTTTTTAAAAAATCTTTAATTAGTTTCATGATAAAGTTTTATGATTTTAAAATGTAATTCATACTTTTTATAAGAATCTTAAATATTTATTTACTAATAAATTACATATGTGAAAAAATACAACTATTTACGCTTATTAAATAAACTGAAATTTTGAACTTTATAAACTTATAATCATTTCTAATTATTATAATTAGTTCTTAAACATACTACTTATAAAATTTAAAATGCTGACATTATAAAAAATGTGATTAACATATAATATTCATATCTTAATATCCATATCCATTATTTTTGCTAAAGACTCACATCTAAAGTCTTTTAGTTTTCCATTTTTCTTATATTTTTTAATCAAATTTTTATAAGTTTTTACATTTCCTTTATAAGTATAATTATACATAACTATGGAAAGTGGATAACCTCTCCATTTTTCTAAGAAATCTTCCAGAGCTTTCAAAGAACAACTAAATTCATAATAAAATCTAATTTCCCTTAAATTAGTTGGTGACGATTTAATTAATATTTGTAATAATTTTTCTCCATATTCATAAAATACACCACTTCCATGATTAAATATAGATAATAATAACCATTTTAAATTTTGACAAACTTTTAGCAATTTTTCAAATTCAGTAAAATGTTGTTTTGATGATGAAAATGTAAGATACAAATATTCGATAGAAGGACAATTTTCATAAATTTTACGAATAAAAATGAGAGAATCTCCATTAAAGCTACCTTCATATTTAAAACGTTCACAAGGTTTTATTAAAATTTTCTTTAGATGTCCTCCACTATTTTCAATTATAATAGAAGATGCTTTTAAATCGAATTCATCTAATTTAAATATCTCAAGATCACGATAAGTACACATTTTTATTTGTTCTATACTAGTATATTGAAAATAATTAATTATTAATGATTTTAACTTATGAAATTTTGGTAGTACCTTATATAGTAATGTGGGATCAACATTTTTAAAATTTGTATTCAAATGGTTGATAGTATCTGCCTTTTTTTCTAATGCAAGAAGAATCTCTTTATAATTATAAGCCACTATACTAGAAAAAAAACTGTAATAAATTTCATCTTTCCATTCAAAATACTTTAAGTTCTTTTGAACTTCAATTAATTTAGCAATTCCAAGATTAACTTCTGATTTTATATCATTAATAATGATGAGTCGTTGTATACATTGAGAAATACGTGCTAAATCATAAAAATATGAGGAATCAACATTTGTACTACATATTAATTCATAAAGTAATTCAAAGCGAAGTTTATCTTTTGGTAAACAAAAATTTCGATATCGGAATTCGATTTTTCTCATATCCAAATATTTAAATTCTGAACATTTCTTCATAAGAATATCATAAAATAATTGTTGTAAAATTAATTGATTATTTTCTTTAGGATTTCTAATAGAAATTATAATATTAATAACATTTGTATTAATACTTTTACAAAAAGATAAATAATCAAATAAAAGTGATTGATATGAAAATGATGGTAATTGGATTCCATGTATCATTAAGTATTCTTTAATATCTTCAGATAAATAAGATGCAATAATCATGAATAAATAATTTTTATTATAATAATTAATATTATTATAACACCAAGGATTCTTCCATAAAATTGGAATTACATTTTCACACCAAAGTCTATTAACCATTAAACATGAAAAGAGGGATTTTGAATTATCTTGTAATTCATTAAATATTATGAAAAGAATATCTTTAATTAGTTTTGACATTTCTTTAATAAAATAATCTTTTATAATCGATGGTTTATTGTTTAAAATATAATATTTATTGAAATATTTTAAAAAATAATTTTGCGTTGCGTTAAAATAAATGAAATAAATTCTGGAGTAAAGTTCCGGAGAATGTTTCACATTACGCCAATGTCTTGATCTACCCAAATTTATCCTAGTATTTGGCCATGTGATTTGCAGATTGTATTACAATGACGCTGAATTTTTCATTGGTTCTACGTCACACATTTATGATTTTAGAGATGATCGATAATTTTTGCATTTTGAGTATTCATGTTTATTAGTTAATCGTTATTAGTATAGAGAAGCCTTTTAAAATTATAAATATATTAATATATCTAAAATTTGTAATGCTTTAATAATCTGTCTTCCTAGTGAAATAAACAAACTTATTATTTCATCACCAAAAGTTTCCCTTTAATTAAATATCAATTATTATATACCGGAAAAGTTGTAGGATGCGAAATATTAAAAATGTTTATGAAGCTGAAAAAATTGATTTATATTTTAAAATACAATCATAATGATTATAGATTTTTTGAGTAAAAAGGTTGTTAAAAGAAATTTTTTTCAGAATTAATATATAATTTAGATATTATCGTGATCTTTTTATAAATTATCACAAACATTCAAAGGGAAATTGTTATGATTTTAGTCAATTAAAAGTATTAAATTTTATGTGGAAATGAAGAAATCAACTTAAATACGCTACGAGTGGGAAATTATAGTATCATAAGGAATCTATTCTATAAAACTGTAAAAGTTGACAACAAGTAACACGTTTACAAGACAATGTTAATACAAGAGAAATATTTAATTTTTGTTATATTTTTTGTTTACTCTTCATATCGTTAAATCATGTGACATGTGTGTAAAAAATTTTACTAAAATATTTTAGATATAGACTATAGTTTTTAAAAAATATCACTTATATTTTATGATTAATTTATTTAATAAATAATGAAAAATATAAATATAGTTATCACACATTTACTATGCTTTTCATATGGAACATGATCTTGGACGTCCGCATAATAACTATTATTTATAATAATCATCAGAATTTTATGGTTTAGGAAAATTATTAAAAAAATTAGGCTCCCTACTTATATAAATAGTTTCTGAGTGTTTCATATTTGTGTTAGCTAGGGATTTATTACTTATTAATAAATTATCATTGGTTTCTTTTTCGATTTGTCTTGGGATTTCTGTTAAATTACATAATAACAGTACTTGCAATTTCGATCGCTGTTGGTCGATTTAATGAATTCGCATCTAAGCATCTTTTATAATAATAATAGGTTGAGGTACTCTAATATTAAACCTTGGCCTAAGCTCTTGATAAATTTTTATTGCTAAACTGTTATCATGGCTTAAATCATAATACGGAGGTAATCCAGAAATTACTTCATGTATAATTATACCAAAACTGTAACTCACATCTGTATTGCAATGAATATGTAAGCAATGTGAATGTCTTCGATCAATTTGATCATGAAGAATCTTCACGGTTACACCTACCATGTGATTATTGTGACATGGCCTGTGCAACATACACCTCTTTTGTTCTTTAGAACAATACAATAAATCTAGAATTCCGGAAGGTATTATTAGCGGACTATCTGTAAAAAGAGAATATACCGAATAAATCATCTACAACCTGTATTTTATTTTTTTTTCTCATACGATCAATAAAGTGATGGCACCAATTTACCAGACATTTTTTAAAATCCTGATGTAGAACTAGTGCCAGTCATAAAGACATTTGCCACCACTAACTACAAAATAATCCTTTATTAAATTTGATAAAATTTATAACAATTTCCGAGTTTCATAATATAAAATCAAAATAACAAAAAAAAATTCAAGAAAATAAAGCTCTAAAAATTTTTTTTAAAATTTTTTTTTTTCAGAAAATCTTAAGTTCTTACCAATTAAATTAATAAATTCTAATTTAAAATTCCAACGTTCAAATCCTATTGTAGATCATTTCAAGGATATTCACTACAAAATAAATTAACTAATGAAGGTATTCAAACTAGTTTAACGTCATTACGGACGCAGTAAATTTAAAACATTTAAAAATTTTACACACTTAAACTAAATATAATACTGCGCCCCAGATTAATAATTTCATTTAGGTAATTCGGCCTTTACACTGACAGTCACAGAATCCCGATGATCTAAAATCTTGACAGCCAAAGATGAATTTGAGATTAGTTAATTTTTTATGCAATTTTTTCTAATTTCAGACTGTACATAGTCCTTTTAGTTAAAATAAAAAATGTTTTCTTTTAATTTCATTAATTAATATAGTAACGTTAGTTAATTTGCATTAATATTAATAAAATTTGCACACAATTTGCATTGATATTGATAAAATTTACAAATATTTTCGTTAATTATATTTAATTATATTGGATAAATTAAAACCCGATACTGCGCCGCTGTATTTTAAAATTATTTGTTTAATTGGAAATTTATAAAATTTATATAATTTTTTTTTCAAAAATAAAACTTTGAGATTTTGACTGTCAAGGATTTGTGACTATCGGGATTTTGGTGATAGAATTGTAGACTATCGAAATTATGGTTGTCGGGAATTTGTAATAAACCCTACTAATAAATATATATTAAAAAGAAAAATTTTTATATATGTAACAAGTCATTTTTAAAATTAATCAAACAATCATCACTGCCAACCTGGTGCTACAATGAAGATCTAAATTTCTTTAAATTTTTCAAAGATTACTTTTAAAAAAAACTGTAAAATTAAAATTTTAGGTACACCTAAATATCAGTTTAACAGTTAATAGTTTAGTTAATATTTACATATAATATTTTTTTTTTGATTTTATTACCAATAAATAAATAAAATTTTTTAATTTTACATTTAACATAAGAATAAATTTCTAATTTTTGTTAAATGATTAATACTGCTGTAATTTATAAACTTTATTCCAAAATAATATTATTATTTTCCCCAGAAATATTACGACTTTCGATTTTACATAATATCAGAATATCGGTATTGTTTAGTTTTTTTCTTTTTGAATAAACTAACTATATATATATTTGTTTCTACCTTATTTTAAGATATTTTAAATTTCATTAGTAGTTTTATTATATTGAAAACCTTTAATTAAGGTATTACAAAATAACGTAGAAAGAATTTGTAATTTTTGCTAAAATTTATAATTATTGTTAATCAAATTATGTATAATATTTATATTAATAAAAAATAATGTATAGTACATTAAATTAAAATATCACTACATATGAAGCCATCAATAAATCAATAATAATTCAAAAATATATTTGATATATAATTAATATATAAAATTTTATTGGCAAAACTTTGAGAATATGTTAATAGGTGATTTCTTAACGATTATTTTATATCATGTGCATGACTGGGCTCCGCAGTATAAATATGTAAAAATAAATCTTAAATTGACTCAATTTTAGGGGTTTTAATATTGACAGTCGCAATTTTTTGTGCACTAAATAAATAATAATAATAAATTTATTTATTAATCAAAAAACTATTCATACTTCTAATAAATGTATAAACATATTTATTGTTAAAAACCAAATTCGATCATGTAAATTCTATTTTTACACCCACCGATCAAACTAATTTTATAGTGGTGTCGTAACATTTTTTTTTTTAATTAATAAAAAGTGCATTTTTTCAAGAGATCCTTATGAACATAATAAAATATGATTCAATAAAATTTTCAAAGACAAAAATGAAGAGATTAGAAACAGTTTCAAGCATTTGACCAAGATCCAACATTTTTTTTTTTATGATCGTTTAATAAAATAACGTATGGTCGAATCACTCACTATGAAAAGCAGGTCCTAATGTATAAATTATGAAATAAAAATGTCTCTTTCTAAAAATCAAATGAGAAGAAATTGATTATCTATCAGATGACGGCTATGCCATTTATATTAAAAGGAATATATAAGAACATTTAAAAGAAAATTCGCGCACCAGATTGCTTAATCCATTGTTTTATCCTCTGTTAATAACTGAATTTCATAACTAACAAGGCGAAAGGATGAAAGATTTTTTTTATTTTTTTTTTTTTTTTTAATATAATTTATTTTCATTTTTTTTTTTTTTTTAAAATTTATATATAATTTAAACTAAAAATTTTATTATTTATTTAATTCTTTAATAAAATAAATTTTCAATGAACGACAGGTGCTAAATAAACTGGTTCAAAATGGCTCAAGTCTATAATTAGAAAATTAATATATTTTGGCTAATCTGACACATTATTCAAATATCAAATTCAAAACAATGTAACAAGTAGTAATAAACTGATATATTTATTTATAAATATGAACAAAAATTATGATAAAAATAAATAAAATCACATTCTTTTAAAAATACATAATTACAAAAATTTATTTTATTAAAAAATTAATTAATACCAAAATAATACCAAAATAACCAACAACTTAATCCTATTTAAAATTTAATCTTCAATGAGTACAAAGAATATAATTAACAAAATTCATAAAGTTGATAAAGTTGATGCAAAAAAAATACAAAACAAATAATTTCAAATGACTAGAATTTTTTGCAAAAAATTATTATTTTATACGTACATAACTTCTTAAAACATTAAATAAAATATTTAAGAACATACATACTCCAAACCAATTCCCAATCAATTCCCCATCTACAAAGCTTATTTATGACACATGTCATTACTTATCGAAATGCGTAGAATCCGCTCATATGAAATCCTCAGAATTAAGTGATCAATTTTCGTAGAGAATAAATTTTCCTTTTTGGAAATACGTGTAACATCACGTGATAAGGATGGTCCCCTGCTATGTCGATCATCAGATCATGTCGGCAAAATGGCTTGTCGGGCAAAATGAAGCCGATGAAACGATTGAAACGGGTGTCACGGATTGTTTAATTTATACATATATGAATTTCATTTTATATTAAAATAAGGAATATCCTCGGTGATTATTCGTTATTTCTGTAAAAACTCCGTAAAAATGAACCTTTTACAGAACTATTCCCGTAAAATGTAAATAATTCGATAAATTCTGTGATATAAGGTTATTTAATTCCGGAAATATGAACCTTTTACGGAATACTATTCAGAGAATGGTGGTATAATTTCATCTTATTTTGAGCTTTATCGAATATTTTCGAGTTATTTAAAATTTGCCAAGTGTCCCGTACATTATGAAATCAGCTGTAATTAATTTCACGAATTATAAATTATCTTTCTTTTTGTTTTTATTTATTCATTTCTTCTGATCGGTAACTTTTACGGTTAATGAGATCGTTGTTTTATTATGCGCACTTATATGAATTTCACAAGTAATGAGATCACTTAATAATTTATCCTTTTTGTTTTATTTATTCATTGCTGATCGGATCGTCTTTTTATTTCCGAATGGACATTTCGCCGAGCGGACATTTTGCCGAATGGACATTTTGCCGAATGGACATTTCGTCGAGTGGACGTTTCACCGAAAATAGTAGTGAGTAAAAAATATTCAACACGCAATGAAAATAAAAAATAAATAAATAAATAAAATATTCAAACAAATTCTTATTAAAACCACTATAATGTTTATGCAAAAAAAATCAAAATAAATTTAGAAATTGAAATGTCAATCCTATTAAATCTGGAATTTAATTTTGCCGATCATTTTTCGTTCCAGATTCTTGGGTAAATTTTTCAAAAAAATCGTCCGAGGTTACCTTGTTATTATTGAATATTTTTTTTTTTCCAAGATATTATCGCTTTAACATTCAAGTAACTGATATTACAACAAAATTAAAAATATATGGGACACTTGAATAAGAATAAATACGTGCCTGACTACCGGACAACCTGACAATCAAATTTCTCAAGTCTATTCAAGATATATTGATCAACTCTATATATTAAACAAAAAAAGTGGAATTAGTTTTTATTTATTCTATTTTTCGAAATATTTTCCGTGTGAAGTTGTATGAATTTCATTTCATATTAAAAATAAGGTAATGTATCATATAAATTATAAATTCTATGATAATTTCACGCGATAAATTATAAATTTTATGACGATTTCACGCAATAAATTATAAATTCTTTCTTTTTGTTTTATTTATTCTATTTATTCATATTTGAACAAATAAATACAAAATTATCTATAGTTAAAATATTAAAATATTTACATATAAAAAAATATGTATATATATATCCCGAATTCCCGTCAAAGATTTGTAATATTAATAAACGATTAAACTTTCTAAAAAATCTTGCCACAGGTATCTAAATTATGACTTATTTTATTTAAAATTTTGATTTAATTACTATTTTTTCTGGTAACTAATATTAAATCCTTATCCTAATCAAGATATTTCACGCATAATGAAATTTTCTATCTTTTTCACGCTCACTATCATTTTTTTTGCTACGGCTCTTGTATCAACAGTCATTGAAGGTAAAATCTTCAAATTGAACAAGTTCGAATATGATATGAACTTTAAGCAAAATATTATATTCTTTTATCCTAAAAACTTAATTGATTACTAGGTTATCACGCTGAAGTTGTTAGAAACGTTCTCGCAGAATGTAAGATTTGGGTTACAGATAATAATGGTAATTATGTAGCTGGTAATAAACATTACCATAGATGCGACAATAATCCTCCAAATTTAAATATTGATACATTATCAAATGATTCATACTGGCTTATTGCAAGTGTTGAAGGTAGTGGTAGACAAGATAAGCGTCGTGGACCACTTAACAATGATTTCTGCTATATTATTTACGGTGATGCTGCTAATTGGCGTTTTAACACCTGGGATTATTGTAATAGTCAGTCTTAATTAACTTAGTTATCTTAATCTTTTCAATTAAATTTGCTAATATACATTATTTGTACTTTTTTAATGTTGAACAATTTAATAAATTTATAATTTATGACTAATAATATAACATACCAATGTTTGGAAAGTCTATAGTTTGCCTATGGAAATGATATGTTTTGTATACGTTTGATATAAGTTTTTGTATATTTAATACGCAATACCATTTTTTAAATGTTTTCCAAAAAGAATTATTAATGCATACGAATGTTATTTATTTATTTATTTATTTATTTTATGTAAAGTCGGAAGGACTATTCTAAGAGAGCATTAATTACAAGAATTGCGCCCAACATTTAGTCCATCATCTACCTGTGGGGCAGACCCAAACTAATTATTATATACCATAGACTACTCCAACAACACGACCGATGAAGGAGCAGGTATGAGGAGAAAAGAAAAAATTAAAGAACTAATTATTATCTACAATAATAAGAAAAAAACTATGGAGTTAAAATATCTTATATAAGAATTAGTCGTGGCAAAACTATACATTATAAAATAAACAAACATCTGTAGATGAAGGAGAATTATAAGTAATATCGACATTCGCTTCTAGATGCGTAAAAAAAGGACCACTATGTAAAAAATTAGAAGAAGAGAATAAAATGTAAAGAAAATCTTTTGATAATTTAAAATTACGAAAACTATTAAATGGATTTGTATAATTGAAATCACAAATGTTTCTTTGACTATTTCGTGATGAAGGTTGTGATAAAGGGTTGTTACGATACGTTTGATGATAGTCTTTAAACAATTTTTTTGTTAATCCTAACAGGTCACGTTGAATTTTCCACTTTTCGTTCCTCTTTTTCCATATATTCATTTTAAATAAAATACTACATTCATGGATAAAGGGTAGCAATAGTTTGATTATGGACTTTAGTGTGTTAAAGTGTGAACGGAATATACCAACGATATCGTTTTAATGCATACGAATGTTTTATTTTATTTTTATTTTTAATATCCATGTGAACTAGATTACAGAAAGATAGACAAGAACTAAAGATATACAAAAGTCAAACGCTATCTATAACTACGCTATAATCAAACCTCCCGTAGGCGGCGCCACTCTGGTATGAATTATCGTAACTTTAAGGGGACTCACCGAAGCGAGATCCCACGGTCTAAATATACTTTAATGCATACGAATGTATATGGAATTTTTAAAATTTATATTCATATCAAGTTATCACGTGATTGTTTAATGTGACGATCATTTCACCGACAACTAATAAAAAATACAAAAAAATTATAAAACAATTTTTATTGTATTTAGCTGTTTTCTATATTTAATATAATATTACTATATTTGATGCTTATTTGATTAAAATACATCTTAGAAATTCCATAGCATAAATTAACTTATACTTAATGATTTTAATATATTAGAGAATTTTGTCATCTCACTTCATTTATATGTGTGATAAAAAACGATTCAAACAATAAATAAAAAAAATTAACATTTTATTATATTCAAATTATAAAACATTTCTTTATGTGTATTAGTGTATATTAATAAAATTCTGCACAATAAATAATTCACTAATAATTGCGGCTATGTTATTTACACAATAAAAACTATTTTAAAATTTGGTGAAATGATTTTCGGTGAGATGACTGTCGGTAAGTTCGGTGAAATGATTTTCGGTGAAACCCCCTTTAAAAATCCTTTTTTTTTTAGAAAAAAGTAAAAAAATTATAACTTTATTCATCATCATTCCTTTATCCATTACATTTCTTTACTAATATTTTGTTCCTCTATTTAGGCTTCTAAAATTCTTTTATTTTATATTTTATTCTATTTTTGTCTTGTAGGTTGAATATTTTTTTTTTTTGTAGTTTGAGTCAGTTCTTTTAAAAATCCTTTTTTTTTTAAAAAAAAAAAAAATTATAACTTAAAAACTTTATTCATCATCCCTCCTTTACCCATTACATTTCTTTTTCTAATATTTTGTTCCCCTATTTAAGCTTCTAAAATTCTTTTATTTTATATTTTATTCTATTTTCGTCTTGTAGGTTGAATATATTTTTTTTATAGGTTGGTTCTTCGTGAGTCAGTTCTTATATCGTGAGTCGTTTTTATCAATTCTTTTTTTTTCGTAGGCTAATTCTTTTTACATGGGTTGTTTCTTTTCGTGGGTTAATTCTTTTTTACGTGGGTTAATTTTTTTCGTGGGTTATTTCTTTTTGTAGATTATTTCTTTTTTGTAGAATGCTTCAGAATTTTTTAGGTCCTTCTTTTACAAGACTCCAAAAGTACTCTAAATTTCTTTATAGAAACGCAAACTCTTGAAGACTTGCAAGGGGAGTTTGGCTTCTAATTGAGTTAAAGAAACATTCTTATGTTTCTTTATTTCATTTTTTAGGTTGTTAGATTCTAGAAGACAAAGAACTTTTCATAATATAATTTAATTTATTTTTATTTTATATCTATTTAATAAATATTAATTATTATTATTTTTCAAAGCACAAACGAATTTGAAATTAAAGCTAAAAATAAGCTCGCCTTTAGAAATGGTCGTGTAGTTGTTTCCAATAAACGTTCAAGAGGAACTATTATATGTTTAACAAAAAAAGATAATAAAAAGAAAAAGCAATCGTAAATATGGAATTTTACCGTATATTATCTTAAAATTTATTCTTTCCGACACGTGATGATGTGCAATGATAACTGCGCTTCGGACTTGATAACAGTAGTATAACTAGTAATAAACTGTAATTAAAGTGATAAATTTTGTGACTAAATAACATTACAAATCATCATAAATTTAGTGTTCTAAACATGTGAATTTCCGTATTCAAATTGCAGTTTTAATGATCATTTTTCCGTATCCTTTTAATAGTCTATTATACGTTATTTCTAAGGAAAAAAATCGTATAAAGACATTATTACAAACGTATCCAGTTTTTTTATAGTCTATTGGCATTTCGTAATACGGTCTTGCAAATTTAATTCCTTATACAATAATCAATAATATAGTGTTTAAAGTGATTCGTGAAATGATTTCACGTGATATTCACTATAACGAATAACAAACCCAGCATGATCAAAAATCCCCAATTAATTGTTAAGTCTATGCACATGACCCGGATGATGATTTTCGGTAAATATATATCCTTTCAAACATAATCATGTCGTTTTTAACATACTAATATTTTTTAGATAAATTATTATTGCGTAAAATATCTTTGATATTTTTGACACATTACGTCATTTAGATTAAATATCACAAATATTTATTGTTTACTATGCTTATATGGAACATGATTTTGGACGTCTGCATAATAACAAAGTTTTTGGGTATGATTTAAAATTTATTTATGGTTAATTTATTTAATAAATCATGACAAATATAAAATAAATACATACTGTACGTATTTAAAAAATAATTGCCATTCCATTAATTTGGAGAGGCAAAAAAAAAAAAATCTCTAAGGTCATAGTAAGAATAAAAAAAGCTAGCGTTAAACTGAATTTTAAATTATAATGTTAAAAAAAGAAAAAAAAAATATTGCAAATAATATGGCGACTAAACTTTACTTACTACTTACAGTCGCCACTGGATATAACGAACCTGCCGTTCCAAGCGTTTTGGTTCGGTATATGGTGAATTCGATATATGATATTCATATTATATACTGAACTGTTCGGTATATGAATTTTATCCATTAAATTATAGCAGCATATACTGTAATATTTAAAGTTCAGATGATTACATGACTTACTATCTCATATATTACTATTTTTATCTAAAAAAGAAAATAAAAAAAAAAAAAATACATGAAATATGAAATAATAAATATAATATATTCATCTAAATTAAAATTTACTACCTTTGTTAATGATGTTTAATTGTCAATATCCATCTGTAAGGAATCTATTTAAAAATTAAATTAATATTAATAATAATTATATAATACAATCATTTAAATTAAAATATTACCATCTTTATTGATATTTAATTGAGAAAAATTAATTTGCAAGGAATCTATTTAAAAGATTGAATTATATTAATATTTTCAAATTTAAATGAAATAATAACGTATTAACTAATATTACCTGAAAATTTTTTGCTTATTATATCATCATTTTGTTCATAATAATCGTCGGAATTTTTTGGTTCAGGAAGGTTATAAAAATTAAGTAATCTACTTTCATAAATAGCTTCTGAATGTGGTTTATACCATGAGCTAGCCGAAGATATATTATTGCTAATTGATGATAAATTACCATCGACATTTTCGTTAATTTGTTGTTGGCTTTCTATTGAAGTTTCTGTTATAAATTTCCACAATTCTTCTCTAATTGTAATCGCTGTTGGCCGATTTAATGAATTTGCATCTAAGCATGTTTTAATTAAACGCACAATTAATTGAGGTACTTTTATATTAAACCTAGGTCTAAGACCTTGACAAATTTTAATTGCTAAATTATTATCATGGCTTAAATTATGATACGGAGATAATCCAGAAATTACTTCATACATAATTATACCAAAACTGTAAATATCAGCAGCTTTAGTATAACTTCGTCCTTGTAAAATTTCAGGAGCAATATAAAGTAAAACACCATATACATTATTTTTTGTATTTTCTGATGGATCGTAATCTGCAGGCTTACATAATCCCATATCTGTTATAAGAATAACTTCCCGATTTTTTAGTATATTGCCAATATGTAAATCTCGATGAATTATTTTATTTTCATGAATATTTTTAAGTCCAGATGCAATATTAAATAAATAATTGAACTTAGTTTTAAAATTTAATTCATTATAATTTGTATTCAAATAATTCCGTAAGCTTCCATTCTCTGCATATTCTTTGTCTCTGGATCTTGGGTTATTCCGTATAACTTAATAATAAATGAAATACTATCAACTTTATTATGTGATGCAACCTATGTAAAATTTATACAAAAAATATTAATAAAATTAATTCTTCAAAATATACATTGGATAATAAATAGATCATACCTCATTCATAAACTCCAGTGTAACTTTTTTTGAATTATTTAAACTTTTCAGAGCTACAAGCATATTTTGACCTATTCTTTTCCAATTTTGATTATAATCATCCCAATCAATTATATTTCCATCAATCCAATTTGCTCTATATACTTTGCCAAATCCCCCTTTTGCAATATATTTGATATCATAAAATTTATTATAAGGTATCCACTCTAATGCATTACTTGCATAGCAGTTTGATAACTGAGTATCTTGAATAAATTTATCAATATCACTATTACTACTAGTCCAATTTTTGAAATTTTGTTGAAAATATATTGTATGACATGCATGATTACATTTTTTACATTTATCACTCAAGACTATCATATAATCATTTGTTTCTGGATTCTGGGTCATTCCATAAACTTTATTAACCTAATATAAATATAATATATAAGTAATAATTAAAAATTCATTAAAAACATTAGCAAAAATAAATCTTTCTCACTTCAGTCATAAATTCTAATGTAATCTCTTTTGGATTATTTAATCTTTTTAGTTCCACAATTGTATTTTGTCCAATTCTTTCCCAATTTTGATTATTATTATCCCAATTAATTATATTTCCATTAATCCAATTTGCTTTATATCTGTCTTCTGTAATATATTTAATATCATAAATTCTATTAGAGGGTATCCATTCTAATGCTTTTCCTGCATCATCATGAGCTGATAACTGAGTATCTTGAATAATCCTATCAATATCATCATTGCCACTAGTCCAACTATTGAAATTTTGCTGAAAATGTATTGTATAACATATACATTTACATTTTTTACATTTATCACTCAAAACTATCATATAATCATTTGTTTCTGGGTTCTGAGTTATTCCATAAGCTTTATTAGTCTATAAATATATATAATATATTAGTATGAAAATAAAAAATATTAACAATTATTAAATTTATTTTACTTCGGTCATAAGTTCTGATGCAATCTCTTTTGGGTAATTTAATCTTTTCAATTCCACAATTATATTTTGACCAATTCTTTCCCAATTTTGATTATTATTATCCCAACTAATTATATTTCCATAAATCCAATTTGCTTTATATCTTTCCTCTGTGATATATTTAATATCACAAAATTTATTAGAAGGTATCCATTCTAATGCTTTTCCTGCATCATCATGAGCTGATGACTGAGTATCTTGAATAATTTTATCAATGCCATCATTGCCACTAGTCCAACCATTGAAATTTTGTTGAAAATGTATTGTATAACATATATAATTACATTCTTTACATGTAACATTCAAAACTATCATATAATCTTTTGTCTCAGGATCTTGAGTTATTCCATAGGCTTTACTGATCTATAAATATATTATATTACTAGTAAAGATTGAAGTTTTATGATGATTTACAAAATTTTAATAAAAATTAATTTATTATACTTTTTACCTTGTTCGTATTATATTCTGGTATAATATTTTCTGGATTATTTAATTTTTTCAGTTCCACAACCATATTTTGATTTTTTCTTTTCCAATTTTGATCATTATAATCCCAATTAATAATATTTCCATCAATCCAATTTGCTTTATACTTGTCTTTTGCAATAATTATTTTGTTATAAAATTTATCATATGGAATCCATTCTAATACCTTTTCCATATCTTTATGAGATAATAGCTGAGTATCTTGAATAAATTTATCAATATAATGATTACCACTAGTCCAATTGTCAAAATTTTGTTGAAAATGCTTTGCATAGCATATATAATTGCACTTTTTACAATTTTTATTCAAAACTAACATATAATTTTTTGTTTCTGGATCTTGAGTTATTCCATAAAATATATAATCAATCTTAATCTATAAATGAATATATTAACAAAAAATTGAAAATTTATCAAAATTTTGATCAAAAATAAATTATCATACCTCATCCATAAATTCCAAAGTATTATTTTTTGTATTATTTAACCCTTTCAATTCTACAATCATATTTTGACGTATTCTTTTCCACTTTTGGTTAATATAATCCCACAAAATAACATTTCTATCAATCCACTTTGCTTCATACTTGTCCTTTGCAATTCTTTTAATATTATATAATTTATCATAAGGTATCCATTCTAATGCATTACTTGCATAGCAATTTGATAACTGAGTATCTTGAATAAATTTATCAATATCATCATTACCACTAGTCCAATTATTAAAATTTTGTTGAAAATACATTATATAACATTTAGAATTACATTTTTTACATATATCAGCCAAAACCATCATGTAATCTTTTGTTACAGGATCTTGAGTTATTCCATAGACTTTACTAATCTATAAATTAAATATATTGGTAATGATTGAAGATTTACAAAAAATTTAATAAAAATTAGTTTATTAATTACCTTATTATTCATATATTCTAATGTAATATTTTTTGGATTATTTAATTTTAATTTTTTCAGTTTCACAATCACATTTTGATTTTCTCTTTTCCAATTTTGATTATAATATTCCCAGTCAATAATATTTCCATCAATCCAATTCGCTCTATATATGTCTTCTGCAACATATTTGATATCATAAAATCTATTATGAGGTATCCATTCTAATACTTCTTTTACATCATAATGAGATGATAATTGGGCATCTTGAATAAAACTATCAATATCATCGTTACCACTAGTCCAATTATTGAAATTTTGTTGAAAATGTCTTGCATAACATATATAATTACATTCTTTACATGGAAAATTTAAAACAATCATATAATCTTTTGTCTCAGAATCCTGAGTTATTCCATAGGCTTTACTGATCTATAAATATATAGTATATTAGTAAAGATTGAAGTTTTATGATAATTTACAAAATTTTAATAAAAATCAATTTATTATACCTATTACCTTATTCACATATTCTAATGTAATATTTGTTGGACTATTTAATTTTTTCAGTTCTACAATCATATTTTGATTTCTTCTATCCCAATTTTGATTAAAATAATCCCAATCAATAATATTTCCATCAATCCAATTCGCTCTATATCTGTCTTCTGCAATATATTTAATATCATAAAATCTATCATGAGGTATCCATTCTAATACCTTTTCCATATTTTTATGAGATAATAGCTGAGTATCTCGTATAAATTCATCAATATAATGATTATCACTAGTCCAATTGTTGAAATTTTGCTGAAAACGTCTTGTATAACATATACGATTGCATTTTTTGCATATCTTATATGATGTTTTAATTAATTTCTTTTTATCCATTGAGACTTTCAAATACAATTGAATTCAGATTAATAGGATAATTAAAGAAATAAAATAAAAAAAGTGACTGAAAAAATTATTTCAGCCTAAGGAGTCTTTATATAAATGGTATACATTATAATAATAATTACAGGTACTGGTACAAGATTTTTATAGGTACAGTAGTACACTGTCACTACATATAGCATATGGGCGGATTTGGCTCAATTGATCGGAATGTCGATCATTTTGCTAAAATTAACGTTAATTTTGGCCACATTCCGATCATAAAGTGAGCCAAATCTGCCCATATGCCATATGGTCTGGAGTTTTACAGAAATTACGGATAAAACATGCGCTGATTAAGTAATACACACCAACTTTTGATGGGTGTTACGATAACATGTAGTGTATGGATACCTATGTTACTATGTATGTAGGGTATGCAAAATTTCACACGCGTTCCATACAGATCTACATTGTTTATTACCAAATAAGGAAAGGCCTAGACCGTTCTATTCTGTACCACGTATGGTCACGTGATACTTTTATATGTGATGTTTAACCATACCCTACATACATAGCCACATGTTTACTATGCTCTCACTTTTGATGATCGTGTTTGCAAAATAAATATGCTTTCTTGTAACATAAATATTATCTAGCACAGATATCTTTTTTATTATATCTCCTGAACTTTTTCCTTGAAATTGAACATACAGTACATGAATACAGAATCAAATAGATTATGATAAATACTTTGAAATTAAAGACAATCCGAAATTCAGCCATTTTAAGGAATTGTTAATTAGAAAATCAATAAATTTATCAAAATACAATTTATGATTCAAGAAGTAGCAAAAGTCGACAAGTATTGGGTACCATTTGAAAGATTTAAAAATATAAAAGAAATTAGTAAAGGTGGGTTTGCTAAAGTGTATTCTACAAGATGGATTGATGGCAAAGCATTATATTATGATGTAAATATACCAAAGTTTCTTTAAGAAATGTTAGCTGAACATTTAAATGAGGTATTTATGTAATGTGATTTTTAATTATAATTTTTTAACTTAATTCTAATATTAAATATAATAACGTGACCGTTCACACACTATAGAAAAATCTACAACAATTATTCACAAACCACGATCAGGTAATCCCAACGCTTCTAACGATTCGTACAGTCCTTGCATACAACATTACAACCATTTAATAAACCAAACGGACATTACGTCCCTCTATGGATCGTTTATATAACTTCAAATTACTTACATTCTGGTGGATGGTCTTCTCTTATTGGTTTATACAATAATTCTCTACAATTTTAGAGATTCATTTTCCTTATTTACTTTTTATTCATACTTCTCTCAAGTATACAATTTAGATAAACTTATTATTTCCTTTAACTCATCTTATTATGATATAGTTTAGAATTCAGGCCACTCCTCGAAATTTAAATAACAGGCAGGGCGACTCTGTTAGGGGCTTACCATTTGTAATGGTAATAGTTTTCCCTTGTCATTGCCCCAGTCTATCTATGACTGTACTGATCTAATAAAATAAAAAAATATCAATTAAAAATAATTCCTCTTTGGTGATTTTAGAAATTGTAATTTTGGAAATTAACGTATAATAAATATTAATTTCCCATTTTAATAATGAAATAAGATTAGTATAATAGCAAATTCGTAATTTCACACGAATTAAATTTATTATGTCATGTAACTGTTAAAACAAAATTATTTCTCAAAAGCAATTGCTTATTTTAAGGTATTACGTTCATTTTTTCGTTCATTTTTTAATGAAAAAAAAAATGTCACAAAGAACTTTAATTCGTGGCTCAGAAAAATAATCTAAATGTGAAAACTAAAGAAAATACTAGATGAATTAATAAATATTTCAGGTTAATAAACCGAAAAGTAATTTCTATTACTTAGGCCACTCCAATTTGATTCTTCGTTTAACATACCCCCCGTTTTCAGAAAAATGGGAAAATAATACATATAATTTAGGCCGGAATTATGAAATTTAATTTGGCCAGAATTATAAATAAAAATTACAAATCACATGACATGTATATTGCTATAACTCTGGCCGAAATTATGATAATTCTGGTCATGTTTTTCGTCCCCCCAGATTGATCCCCTATATTATGTTAAACGAAGAATTGGCTTGGGGTGGCCTTAGTAAGTAACGATTTTACATGAAACCTCTTACATTTCCTAGTTAATTTGGAATATATAATGAAAAGCATGAAGAATTAGCAAAATAACAATGGCTAATTCGTACATCGTATTTAGTTGATGCTGACGCTACTCAAAAAAGAAAAAAATCCTTATAAATTTAGATGATGGTCGAAGGTTTTTTTGAATAAAAGAAACATTGTTTAGTGGCAGCGAATTGTTTAATGAAATTAACTTAGTAGATATGAAGATCTCTTGAAAACTAAATTGAACTTGTTAAATATTCGTAGTTAAAGTTAATCTAGGAAATTATCATTTAAGATATGCAATAGATTGGCTATAGAAAGTTTTAATACAGTAATTTTGTAATTAATAGATAATTTAATATTCAAAGCACCGGCGATTTGCGCTAATTTTATAAATAAATAAAGATGACATGGATATTTCATATAAAACTATAAAGAAATCATATGTGCTAATATTATATTATAAAACGAACGTGCATATTACATAGTTGATTTAGGTAAATTCGATAGAAGTGAAAGACATTCAATTCATAATCAATACTAAGAATTAAAAAAAGAATTTATTTAATAAAAAAACTATATAAATACGGTCGGCCGTTTCTCGACAGGATATTTTCCTGACAATCCCAGATCGTCAAACTTAATTATTTTGCAAATTATTTTTTTTTAAAGAAAAATAACTTATTAAAATAAAAATTTTCAATTTAAATTATCATTTGTTATTTATATAATAATAACTATTTATTAATAAAATATTTATAACCAATAGAACATCAATTCAGGTAAATCAACAGCTTATATCATTATTCATTACTTTACCGAGAAGTGAAAATTTGATTCGAATATTTGAAATATTTTATTAAAGAATATTTATTTTAAACGAATATTATCATATATTAATCCAAAATTATTTGAAATACTTCATAATCTTCTATTAAAAAATAATCCTCAGTTTCCCTTATCTTTCTTTCATAATTAACATGTTTACATACATTATGATTATATTCACTTGAACTATTATTATCAGATACACCTATGTAAAGATCATTTCCAAACGAAGGACCACAATAAATATGATCAAATAATGATTCATTCGTAAATTTTACACGACTTAGAATTGGATTTTTAAAATTATCCTTATTTTTAAAAGAAAATATGAAACTATCTTTAGCTTCAATATTAAATCCCGAAGATTTCCACTCCAAAGGATTATATCCTCCAATAATTTCTCCCGTCTCTTGTAATTTAATGAATGTAATAGTATAAGGTTTATTATCACATAATTTATGAAATTTTTCAGGAGTAAACCCATCTTTGCTTCCCCTTAATAGTAATTTAAATTTACACGGGAAATATAATTCTCTTGTATAAGCAAATTTACTATTAATATCAATTTTATCAAACCATATTGAAATTATAGAAATAATATTTAAATTGACAATTTTCGAATCAATAATTCCGTCAATATTCTTATGTCTAGGAAGTAAAATATTATCATCCGGTTCGCTATTTGGGTCCAGATAAGATTTTAATAAATCTTCATAAAGTTGATGTTTTAAAAGTTTTTTATAAGGTCGAACTTTTTCTAAGAAATCTTTAGACGAAAGACTGTAGAATCTAATTAACGGTAAGCAATGTTGTAAAGTATCTTTCATAGTTTGAAAATCATCATCTGACCAAATAGTAGGATCTGAAATAAGTGTTGGATTCTTTTCAAGTCCCCATTTTAATACATATTCCCAAACTTCAATTTCTTTCATTTGTAAATCATCTCTCTCAATAAGTGAAATTAAAGATTTTTCAGAAAGTGAAGACGATTTAAATATCTTTTCGGGTGATTTAGTCATCAAATCTGTACAAAATCGCTGAAGTACTAATAAATTATCAGATTGAAAGCTTATCTGATGAATATATTCAAAATGTTGTTGCATCCACTCTGTCTTATTTTCAATTAAATATCTTTGCAAATAATCGGATATTTCTTTTTGAAGGAGAAGTTCGTCAACAGCAATCACCAATTTTAAAATATCTGACGCATCCCGCCCTTTTAATGAAACGGCACCGCCATAAACGTACCTATAATAAAATATTAAATTTTTTAGATACAATATTAATTTAATTTGAGACAATAAAATGTCTAACGGTGAAATACCTTAAAATAATTTGAAAAACTTCGGATGAAATATTAGGTTTTACAAAATAAAACTTCCCATCTTCTCTTTTCATATTCTGGTTATTTGACAAAGCAGAACGAAAATACTTTGATCGTGCTCCAATTATTTGAGAATGTACTTTAAACTCTTGACCAGTTGCTTCATCTCCAACTTTTACAATCGTATCGTGACACTCTCCTGTTTCAAGTAAATTACCAAGATCGTTGGGAATAATGACTAGAAATAATATTAACGAAAAGTTAGTAATAGTTAACGTTGCGAATTTGGAGGAAATTGAAAATTAAGAATAATTAAGACATATCTACTAAAAAATTCATTACAATGACCTAATCCTTTTTTCAATAACAATGACAGGCATAATTTACCTTCGCTTTTTACTTTAATCTCTACTGGTGTTTCATACCGGTTAATGAAACTATCGTCAACTACTTGTCCAAATTTCAACGGCTCTACCGAATTATGTTTATATACTTCAATTAAATCCATTTTGATTTTATCCAGTCCGTTCAATTTTATTTTTGCCTCTTCTATCAAATCAAAAATGTCTTCACCATTAAACGCTATTTTTATAGGTTCTTCATTAAATTTCACCCAAATTATTTTCTTATGTTTTCTTTTTTGTTCCAAGATAGAATCTTCACTTTTCTGTTCTAAGGAAGAATCTTTACTTTTCTGTTCCAAGGAAGAATCTTTACTTTTCTGTTCCAAGGAAGAATCTTTACTTTTCCGTTTCAAGGAAGAATCTTCACAAAGTAACTTAACTTCAAAATAAATTTAAAAAAAAATAATTATTTTCTCTCTTTTTAATATTAAATTTTCAAATAAAGTGTTCGTACCAATTTTCGTGAAAACTTCTCGAATACCATGGTCTTTCCTCGCACTAATTTCATAAAATAGCAATCCAAATTCAAGAGCATAGTTTTTAGCTATTTCAGTTGAGACTTGTCGTCTGGAAAGATCAATTTTATTGCCCAAAAGAGCAATAATAATATTAGAATTCGCCTGATTATTAAGTTCTTTTATCCAAGATTTAGCTCTATTAAACGAATCCTAATCGTAGCCACCCAATTTAAATTAAGAATTAGAAAAAGTTTATTAATTTAAAAAATTACGTAAATAGTCGTCTATAAAAGTTCTTACCATATTTGTTACATCATAGACAACAACAGCTACATGTGCATTTCGATAATACATTTGAGCTAAAGAATGAAACCTTTCTTGACCAGCTGTATCCCAGATTTCAAACTTAATTATTTTGTCTTCAAGACGGCATTTTTGTGTCATGAATGCAGCTAAATCAAAAAAGGTAAATATGAAATAATTCATAAAATACGCGATCAACGACATTTCACGACTTTCACGTACCACCAACAGTTGGTTCTTTATTTTCTTGAAATATATTACTGGCAAACCTGAGTATTATGCTAGATTTGCCCACTGAAGATTCACCTATATAAAACAAAACGTGGTGTTAGTTCAGCTGTTCGAAAGTTTGACCTAATAAGTACGTTATAAAGATATTTTGGTATAAAAGTAACTAAAAAAAAAGCTTTACCGAGAAACACTAGTTTAGCCTGCTTTATTACCAACGAATCTTTGGCAAGAGTCTCTTTTTGTGACATTTTGTACTGGTCTTGTTTCCCATGCCGAATGCTTTTATATCCATCAAGGTGTCACAGCCTGCAAATTACCCCTTGGGCGCCACATCTTTGGTACATCCTTAATTGCAATTGTCACCTGATATTGCGTAATCTTATCAAAATCAGGAGATCAAGATTTGTCCATCAATGCGTATGATTTCCTTTTATAGTAAAATGCCAAAATTCTTATTTTCAATGACATCATAGTTTGATCGACATTTAGAATTTTCAGATTTTCAGCACGAGGTTTATTGCTTTGTTCTAATAATCTAAATTGCTCACAATAATCCGTTAATAACGTGATTTCGAACTGGATAGCATGATGCAAATGCGAATAATTGATGGTAAAAAAGCTACTACAACAAATACATTACAAGTTCCTCTTGCGTGGTCATCGAGTTATTTAAGTAATCATTAATGAGTCTACATTTCTTCTCTCTTTCATCCTGAGAAAATTTAATTTAATCCTTAATCCTTAAAATTGACATTCAATTATATCTTTACATCAAATGTATCTCGTATTTTATATTTTCATCCGATAAGGCTTACTGTACATATGACAGGCCATTTTAAAGTATTATTTATTATTTAAAATATAAAATAAATGAAAGTCAACGAATAATACGTCAAAATAATTTCAAATAACAAGTTTTTTAAAAGAGCATACTAGAGAGTCGTGTCTATTATTACTCGTTCCTCAGTTTAGAATCGATCGCAATTCTGAAACTTACTTAAATGATACTATCCGTAGCTAAACATTACTGGAAACGAACAATATTCGTTAAATTTTCCACTATCATATCAGAAAAATTGATTTCCAACGTAATACCTCTTATACATTTTGTTAATACGTAAGATCTCTTCATATTGATGACTTAATTTAGATTTACTCTTAATTATCAGGAAAAAAAACTCAATATTCGCGATCTAATTCGATAATATCTATGTAATATCACGTCAATATTTTATAAGCCGGTAGTTTCTATTTTGAATATTGGTAGGCTTGAAATGGAGTAATTTTATTTATTTATTTATATTTTATTTATATTTTATTAAAAATTATCAATTATTCAGATTAAAATTATTTCTTAATTAAAATTACGACAATTATTTATATGGTAATAACATTTCTATTTTATTTACGATTTTATTTAAATAAATAACATTTGATTAAGGCTATTTCAATATTGGAAAGAGATGATATTATGATTATTCTCTTTTTTATTGAGATTAAATTGATGTGCACGATCAGCCTTTATTTAATTGTATTGGTAATAATTTCTAGAGACATTATATTGTAATTTATCATATTATAATTCGTAAAAATAGTTTTTGAATCAACAAAAAATTGATAAATATTGGAATAAGTCGAATTATCTAAATCTATTAATTTTAATGCATTAAAAGCATAGTCAAATTTGTTTTTTCTGTAGTTGAAATTTGTTAAATTCGAATATGTAACGTCTTCTTATACTTACGCTTATTCATATTTGTAATTTGATTCTTATTATAATTGCAAATCCTCCAGTGTTCATCGTAGTTCCGTGACATGTTTCAGGCTAAGAAAACAAAGTAAAAAGACAAAAAAAAGCGAGTGATTGTTATTGCTTTTGTTACTTTAAAGTTGCGTAATATATTAATAATACTTAAGTCTGCAGTGATCATTTGTTTTAATCGAAGAAAATTTTCTAAGATTAGTTTTGGTGATGAAAAACAATATTATTTTGAATATTTTGATAAAAAGATATTTATTGAAAAAAATAATAAAATAGATAAATATTATTTTTCATATTATTTATTTTATAACTAGGTAAAAAACTATGACTAAATTTGGTCCTATCCCTAGTAAATTCGTGATTGGCCGTTAGATTTTTTTTTTATTTTGACTTTTTAATATAAAAAAATATCAATTATTAATAAATTGATTTTTTTTTATTTTAATAATAAAATTGTATTTTTCAAGATTGCGGCCAAATTTGGCTGCAAAACAGTCTAAAGGATAATGAGTTATCTGAAGATTAATTTTTTTTTTAATTTAAGTATTAACGTCATTGCCGTCAAAAGTAAATTTATATGCTAAAATAAGAAACCTTGTTAATAAAAAAAAAAAATAATAAGCGAAAAATAAAATAATTATGTACTTAACACTTTTATAAAATAACTAACAAATATAAAAAAAATCGTCATCTTGACTTTAATATATGCTTATATTTTACCGCAATTTTTTCTTAAAAATTAAATCTAACAGTGTATAACAAATAACAATATTATATAATAATAAGCAGTTTGAATATTAAATGAAAATTTAACTGTCAAATACTAAAACTAAATTATATATTAAAGCAAATAACCTAAAAATTCCTTACAGCAAAGTAAATGTTGAATCCAATAGTAGAAAGTGGAATCTAAGAATATATAATATATAGTAAAATAGGTTAGAAGACTCGAGTACTCTAAGTAAGCTTTGCAGAAAAGACAAATTCAAGCCCCCATGCCTACTATCAACTAACATTAACGTATATCGTGAGTGATCAGACTCGTGCAGAGGTACTGTCACATTGATAATAAGACATGAGACCCACCACCAAAGGGACGGGCCCCACATACAGAAGTCTGCGACATAGCTTGAGATATCATTTTTCTCATTGAAGGTAACCAGACTACTAGAAGAGGAGGATAACCAAAGCACACTAGGTGCACTAGTCCCTTGTACATCCCGGCTTAGTCATTTCCACTTACCAGTTTAATAGAAAATATCATTATTCAGGCGTGATGTTCATTTTAAAATTTTTCTTTCTGTTTTTGGGTATTTGTAAAGAAGGTCACCGGCGAGTACGTTAGAACATAACTATCCACAACTTATGGCACCTTTGAATAGTAAAAATAGTTTGACTAGAGTGGCCGAAAGACGTAAGATATTTTTGTATTTCTAAACAGGGAGGTCATTAAAAAAAATCTATAAGTTACAATAAATGTTAAAGATAAAGAAGGAATATCTATATCATTAAAAAAAATACGAGTACAAATGTAAAGAAACTTCGTATAGAATAAAATGATCTTTTATATGGGAAATTTGTTTAGCAAAACTGATGACCGTGATCATGATCACAATTTGAGGTTCCGATGCATGATTTCGTTGCACACATGATACACATGATATCTCATTATATAGACTACTTTGTCAAATTCTTGTTATTACTATATTAACAAGGAAGAAATATTTTATTATAATAAAAATGTTTTATTAGGAAAAAAAGTGTTTTATTTCGTAAAAGAAATGTTGTAAAACACGTATATAAAGTACATTTCAGACTAATAATTTTACTGTATTATGTGACGTAAGTAACCAGTCCAACATTATAATTATGCATGCTCTGGATATAAATACAGAAGCTAAATAGTATAAATAAAATCCTACGAGAAAACTTCCACGTGACTAATATATGTAAATTAAGAAAATTTATACTCTTAAACAATATTATATAGATATTAGAAGATTACCTAAATTAATGAAGTCAATCATGTTGGAATATTTTTTTTTCACAAGTTCAAGCTTGCCATATTTTGTAAAAATCAATCGATATCATACATTCTTCCAAAAAGATCTTTACGAAAGAAATGTTAATCTAAAATTACTGTTATCCATAATTTTCTTCTTATCCTGTGTGAGAAGAGTCTTAACACTTCCATATGAACAACTCACGATCATTGGATACCCAATATCACCCTGAAAACAACATAAAGATTTCGCAAGCTGGTAATTGCATGTTAGTGTTATGCTCGCTAGTTTGGGATTAGTGCTGACTAGTCGCAGAGTGCCCTTCACTTTTCCAAAGCGGAATGCTTCTTGTTCATCCCAGCTGGGGAACCAACAAATGCTCTTGAACATTATACCTTTCGCAATATACGTTAGTGCTTTGGTATCCTCAACGATAGGCTTTGTCTGCGTCGCGACCGTTGTCGTCAACGTAGAAGAGCTAGAAATGTTACGGCTAGATTTGACGAACTCTTCAAAGCCAGGTATTTCAACAAACTCAATAACATAATTAATGTTATCAATCAACTTTGTCTTGCTATGATCGAGTCCCGTAATAATCGTTCCGATCGAAGAAAACGGACTCTTTAGAGCTATAGGATATCCCGAAAAATTCGGTGGCGGTTGATGAATATAGGTTTTTCCGAGCTTGTACTCACAATACAGCGACACACTTGACAATCGAGGATCCCCACTACTAATTTTGCATATACCCTCTGTTGTACCATTTTTGAAGACTACTCTTTCATCAAGGGGAAAATATGCAATGCTTCCAGATATTAAGCCCTGAATTATGTAAGTTAAACTCTTTGGGTCATCGGAAACATTTGTTGTTTGTGTACCTACGGATTTCTTGGATAATGGAAACACTGTAGAAGCGTCATCTTTGAGCGAATAAGTTCCTTAGTGAGCGGAACTAAAGTTAGTTTGTGAATCATATAATAATATTAGAACAGTTAGTGTTAAAATACCCGGTAACACATAATTAATGTTCTTATCGTCACCCTTAAGTGGGTAAGTTCCTTAAAGAGCGGAACTAGAATTAATATTTAAGTCATATAAAAATGTTAGAAAAATCTTTGTTACATGTAAAATACCTGATAAAATTTTGTATTCTTTTAAAACTTCTTTCAAGCTATGGTATGAGAACGAACACTTGGATCGGCTTTTGAATGCCACGGCTATTTCCACTAATCTTCTTGATGGACCAATTTTCAATCCACAACGTTCAAACTCTTCTTTAGTCATGTTAGTGAAATCAAAACCAGTAATTTTTTCTCTGCGAAGAATTTCAAAGTCATCGTTGTCGAATTTTAGGTCCTGTCTTCGTAAAAAGGAGATAAGGGTATCTGTATTCCAGTTTTCAACTGGCGGAGAATCAATTTTGGTAGACATAAGTAAATAAAAATTTGTTTTCAATTTGTGAGAAAATGAATTTATTTTTTTGCAAATTGTGAGAATTTATATTGTCGCACATTTAAGACTTGTTTGCGTACTACGGCAAAAAAATTTTCCGGTCCAATCACTAGACTCACCTTACTGCGGATCGTAATATTGTTGACTAATTAAAGTTAAGTTACTGCAGTATTCTCATTCTTTAATCATTGTGTAAATAATAAATAAATGGCTAAAGGAACTAATCCGGTAATATGGAGACTCTGTAGCACCACGTATTTGTCAATAGCCTTCTTTTGCTGTGGGGTCTTCAATTATGTAATAAATTATTATCAGATAAGACTGTACTATGTATTCAAAAAAAATAGGAGTGCATTCTTCATAAGCTTATTTATTCTGACTGTCCAAAGATGGAACTCGCTATTATGATTAGTGATTTATTAAAAATTAACCGACCGGCCTAGGGCGCTACGCCGCTACGAGTTTAATATTTTTAATATAAGATAATGTTGATGTAATGGCGTTACAAAATGGCGGTGTACGATTTAAGATATTGATTTTACTTTATATACCAAATAAAAATTTAAATGATTGATTTCAAATTATTATAATTATTATGTAAGAAAATAACTCTATAAATCACATAAGATTCACTATATCACATTCACAATTATTTTATATCAAAATTACATTACGATGATGTGACCACCATAATTAATTCTACTTATTTCTTTCTTCATTTTCTCTATTTTATTATTTTACGTTTTATTTTGAACAATCATTAATCAATTTCGGTCATTATGTTTTGCAATTAAGGTATGTCCAGCACTACATAGTCGTTTCTTCTTATTTTTTATTTCATTCTTATATTTCGTTTCTTACATTTTGTATTTCATTCTTTTTAGGTCTTTCAGTTCTTCTCTGCAACTACTGAAGTATGTTTTTATTTTTTTGTTTTCATTTATTTATTACATGTAATTTCTGTTCCCTACTAACTTTATTTCTTTTATTTTATAGGTTTGGTTTTTACTAAATCCCCTGTTTATCTCATTTTCGTCCCTTCTCTATTTTTTTGTTCTCTTTTCGTCTTTTCATTTCTTTTGCTCTTTTAATTATTCCCTTCCTTCATTTTTTTCTGTTGTTTTTATTTCCTTTTCATTCTTTCATTTTTTTTTTCATTCCCACGATTTTTTTTGTTTCCACTTTGTTTTTTCTTTTCCTTTCTTTTTTTTCGTTCCCATTCATCTTTTTCATTTCTTTACACTACCATTCGTTCCTTTCATTTTTATTCCACTTCATATTTTTCATTCTTTTACACTACTCTTTGTTATTTTCATTTTTTTTCCATTCCCACTTCACTTTTTTCATTTTTTTACACTACCCTTTGTTCCTTTCATTTTTTTATTCCCCCTTTGCTCTATTTCGTCCCCTTCATTCTTTTCATTTTTTTTCATTTGCACTTGATCTTTTTCGTTCCTTTCGTTCCTTTCATTCCCCTTTGCTCCATTTCGTTCCTCCTTCACCCCTCTTCGTTTCTTTCATTCCTTTTCACACTCCCTACTTTTTTCATTCATCATATACTTTTTTCCCTTTTTCATTCACATATTCTCTTTTCTTTATCGTTATGACTCATTTTTTTTATAAAAAATTTAGTATTTTGGATAGTATGAGTTTGTTTTTTTTCAATCAATAAAATAATGTAATCAATTAAAAATTAATAAATTGTTATAAATTTTAGTGCGAAAATATTTTAAGCATGTTTATTATACTTATACAGTATATTTAAAAAAATTTATCTAATCAAAAAATTTTAAAAAATTTACAGGGGATTTATATGCAAATTACGAAGTGAGAAATATTAAAATTTACACCAATCAAATTTAATAAATTTAACGCATATGCTTGTGAATCTTCACTATCAAAGAATTTCATTCAATTTTTTACTGGTAAAATCAAGTAAGCGACTTGTGTAACTTGCTTTAGGATAAGATGCTTTTTAATTCTTCACTGACTAAATAAAGACAGAAAATCTATTTTTCAATAATTTTCAATATTTCTTTAGAAGATGGTCTTTTTGATGTATGTTCATTCCAACATTTTTCATTAAATCTATATAACATTGTGGAGTATCTTCAATAATTTCAGCAGGAAATTCACCTTTACAAATACTTAAACTAAGTTGAATATCATGTGCTCTATTATTAAATGGTGGTACTCCAGACGTAAGTTTTCACATAAATAATCATAGAAAAATTATATTAAGATTTGCCTCTTAAAATTTCGGGAGCCATAAATGGTATAACACCATTGAATATCATACTTTTTCAAAAATGATCTTACGGGTCAACATAATCCTAAATCACTATATAAATTTTATCCTTATTCTTATCATTATGATTTAAAATATTACCATCATGAAAATCACATTGAATAAGATTTTCTTCATGTATCTTATTAAGTCCAGAAATAATTTCATGCAAGATATATAATTTTTGATTTCAACCATTCTTGTTAAATTTTTTCTTAATTACCTTTATTTACATAATCCATTCTAAAAATAATAATAATTTTTTAATATAAATAAATCTTAATTTAAATTAAAAATAGAAAATAATATACTATTATACTAGTATTATACTTCTTTCAAAAATTCATTTCCATTTAAATTCTTATGGCATTTAAAAATTATTTCATCTCTATTATACTTTAACCCATTGCAAGTAGCTTTATATATAGTACCAAATCCTCCTTTATTAAAATATTCAATGTTTTTAAATTTGTTATAAGGAATCCATTTTAAATCTATAATTGAACTTTTACTTTTTCCAAATCTATAAATTTAAATAGTTAAAATTATATTATAGCTTATATTATAATTACACTAAAATAAAACATTACTTACTATAAAATTTAAATAAGAATTTAATGTAATATAAATCTTAGTTTTGGATAAATATATATAATAACCTACTATAATTCACAACTTACCAATTAAAGTAACAGATATTTTTTTAAATGAGAGAGTTTAGTTAACAAATAAATATTATATAAAATATATGACAATAGAAATATAAATATCTTTAAATGATGTAATAAAATATTATTAATCTGTGTAATCAAAATATTTAAGTTTTTTAAATATTGGCCAGAAATTAATTGTATTTTATCAACAGATGAGCATACTTCAGAGTTCTGATTTACAAAACATATTGTACAGTACATGATGTGTTCTCAATTAATAATCAATGAAGTTTAATAGTTTAATTATCAATAATGATTTTATGGTGACTATATATGATTTGTATTAAACTTTTATATTCATTATTTTTTTTTTTTATTTCAAATTAAAAACATACCCTTAGTAACAGTATGTCAAATATCTATAGACTTGCACTTATGTAACTCAAGTTGACTCAAGTTGAACTCGCACTCAAGTTAGAAATTTCTTGATTCGGATCATATTGTTGATAGTGCTGGCTGAACCCTATTTGTAATTCCTACTGACACTATGATTATAATGGTCTGGTAAAATTATGGATAGTAAGCTGATAATTTTAACTTTGACTTGAGTTAACTTGAGTCCTGAGTCAAATCCTGAACTTAAGTACTCTTCAAGTCAAAAAAATTCTTGACTCATTTTACTTAAGTTTACTCATCCTGACTTGAGTCCAAGCTCTACTATAAAGTTATTGAAAGCTTTGGTATTGAAGAAATATAAAAGAATAAACTAAAAATCCATTTAATGAAAAATTATGAAGTAAGAGAAGAATTATTTTTAGTCCTCCAAAGTTCCCAGATAAAAGAATCTAAAATAAGTCTTTTAGAAGATTTTATTAGTACTTTATCCAGTATATTATCAAATAATTTTATAATAGCCATTATACTGTTTATGATGTAATGACTAAACCTTTTTTTCTTTATCACATGTCATGAATTTAGATGAATATTATAGTAAGCCTTTGCATCATAATAATTGATCAGCATAAGCATGACACATAACATTCTTATAAATCTCTCAATATGATTTTTTTGTATTTTTTTTAGTTAAGTTGCTTTGCAACTTACAATACAAAGAGCCAATTTTGTTGCTATATACAGATGGGAGTCTTGGAAATTTAAAGTATCAGAAAATCTAATAAAATTATTAAAAAGGGAATAGAAGATCATTACTACAATTTCTGAGACAGAAATTTGACAAAAACTTGATTCTGGTTTATTTTATTCTTGCAGTACTGGAACTGAAAAATTGTGAACAGCAACTGAACTTTCACATTTAATGGAAAAATGTGTTAATTCAAACTTAAAGAATTTGATATTAAAAAAACTAGTTTTTAATATTTCATTGGAGAAGGGTACACAACTTAATCCATATTTAGAAAAGAATGCCTCAACATTTATTTCGTACAATGCTATATCAACTTAAGTCAAAGAACATGGCTTTAGATATTTTTATAATAAATGAAACTTGAAATATACAAACAATATTATTTCAATATTATTTCAATATGGTTTTGATGCCATTTAATGTCATTTGATATAAAATCACAATGACATTGAAATGACATCATTAAGTTTAACTTAAATATGTTATTTTAATATTATTTCAATATTATTTTAATATGCCATTTTGATATCATTTTGATATTGCAATAATATAATTTAATATCATTTCAATTTTAATATTAAATGACATTGAAATAGAATCAAACTATAGGTAAGTTAAACTTAACTATGCTAATTCTATGTTGTTTGAGAACTTTAAGTTTCTGTAAAGATAAATCTGCAGTCACAAATTACAAAATTACCTTATTTGGGTTGTAGATTGCCCAAAGCAGGCAGATTTAGCTGTATTAAGACAAATCTAATAATACAGTAAATCTCTTAAAAATAGGGTATGTAAGATAAGGATTTAAAACCCCTGTAATATGTACTAATTCTGGCCGTTGGATTTTTAATCCTTTTTGGAATATTGTGAAACCAAAATTACTTATTTTTGCAAGAATCCTTTTTTGGATTTAAAGTAACTTCACATGATAAAGTGCCCAATGGTATGCAGGTAAACAGTTTTTGCAGTAGATAGAACGATTTGGCCAGAATTACATTTAATTCAGGCCGGTGGACAAACAATGTAATTTATAAGCTGAAAGTTTCTGCACAAAATTTCATCTAAGAAACTACCCATGGGATGAATGGCCATGAAATTTGATTGGTTGGATTTAAATGATAAGGTTTATAAGCTGAAAATTTGTGCAGAAATCTCAGCTAAGAAACTGCCCATAGGCGAAATCTGCCATGAAATTTGATTGATTCATATAAATTCGGCCAAAATTAACTTAATTCTGGCCGGTCATCTTAATTTCGGCCAGAAATTACCCATATTAGGTAAATGATTTGATGAAATTTGATTGGTTCATATAAAATGGACAATTTTGTCCAGCAAAATTGGCCGGTCACCTTAATTTTGGCCAGAAATTACTGCATATTGGGTAAAGGAATTGGCTAAATTTAATTGGACGAATTATTAGACAGAAACTGGTCGGCCAGAATTAGCTTAATTCTGGCTATAATGATTTCAACTTCAGTCAGAATTACTGTGTGACTTTTTTGGTTAGTACAAAATTTATATCAATGCAATCCTTGCATGCTGGTTTATAGGCAAATTTGCAGTCAGAAATTATAAAATTACCTTATTTGGCCGATATAAACCAACTAAGTATTAGCCAATTAAATTCTATGGGCAAATCTCAGTTTCTTAGCTGAGGACTGAGGTTTTGTAAACTATGTCGATTATTTGGATTGAGTGTGCGACAATGTACATAAATCCTATCGATATTGGAAATCATGTGAGCAATATTTCGCGTAACATTACGTTTCAATTCTCATGCACCGGAAAATGAAGCATATAAACATGCAATTTACGGTTTCTTTCTCATTTTTTCCTTATTTTTTTCTTTTTCTTTTTTTTATTTCCTTCAAGTCTAATTAAGGTAATTTAAACAGTGAAAAAAAAAATTTCTTTTAAATATTTCCAAAAAAAAAACTCTTCATTGAAAACTTCCATGTTTCGTTTAACATATTCATTTAGGTCACTTTCAAAATCTCTGAATTTATTAAAATTACGGTAGTTTTAGAAACTGTTTATTGTAACATATATATTTTATATTATATCATCATTTTTTTGTTTTTATTATGACTCTACTATTTATTTTGGTATCTGACAAATGATAAAATAAAAGTTGATTTTAATTCGTTCTTTTTCATTCCCCAATCCTAATTAATATACCCTACATGATCGGATTCTTTATAATTAGTTACTAAGTGGATTTAATTGAAAAAAAAAATGATTTTTCTTATAAAATGTGTGAAATTTCTCTTCCATCAAAATCTCTTTTTTTTGTCAACAAAAATAAAAACTTTCATCGTTTAAAAACTGACTACCTAAGAGAATTATCGATACTGTCAGGACCGAAATTGTTAAATTATTATAAATATTGCTGACGACTGGTTTTTTTCCACCTTTTGAACTTCAACTTTCTTTTATATAAAAAAAATGCCGTTAAGTGATCTTAGAAATTTACTTGATTCTCCTAATAATTTTAATCAGTGATATTATCGAAGAAACGCAAATAGAAGAAATCGACGACGAATTCAACGTCAACGACGTAGAATTATAAATAGGATGTATATAAGACGCGCAATGGTCAATAATACAGATACATTACGTCTAATTGCACAATTACCTTTACAGATTACAAATAATCCATTTGAAAATCAAATGTTTAATGGAACTCCTTTCTATTAAATTGATACTATGAAAACTTAGTAAGTACAGTATTGTTCTTCAGCTACTTGCATGTTGTATGTTTTAAGGCCGCATTTAATCATTCTTTAATATTATCTGTTTTAAGTAAAGTAAAAAGTTCATCTAGAACAATATTAGTTTTAAACGATACCGCCTTATATTATATTGCTATCGAACTGCCTTTTTTTATAGTGATTATAAGTAAAGTTTTTTTTTTATTTCATTTTATTTATTTCAAGTACTAAATAAATACAGTATGTAATATAACATTTTAAATTACATTCTCAAAATCAAACAAATTTCTGTAGTTAAAATTTTTTTTTAGTATGTGCTAGAATACTTTCTTCTTGTAATTAATTGAAATATACTTCACGTTGCTTTAGATTAATTAATACTATCTCACATTATTAATTTTATACAACCATCTCGAATTTATCATTTAAATAAAGATACCAAATTCATTATTAATAGGTTTATTTACTTCAACGTGAAATAAAAAAATACTATCATAATTTATAATAACGTTTTATTTATTGATAAGGGAAAGATATTTCTAACTGGATTAGGAATAAATTCACTCTATTGATAACTCATGAAAATATGAAGGTACACTCATATAAGAGGATTCGACAATTGTATAAAGTTTCAATAGAAGAGTTACTTACATTGACATGTTCTTTAAAAAGAAAATCGCATATAGAATTATATAAATTTATATACCAGCAAATAATTCTCGACGTTACAGTCGTTACAACATCATGATATCACGTGATCAGTGAACATATAGCCAACTCCCCCCTTTAAAAAAAAGAACGGAGGGATTTGAAAATTTTAGTATATTTGATAATCCCGCAACACCATATCTATTAGATGAGTCATATTTTTTTTTGTGGCTGATATTTTATTAATCTCGATAAAAAACTGAAATTTTAAGACGTCTCTTTTATTATTTTTAATCGTTATGGCGTATTAAATCATGTGACTGAAATCTGTAGAATCAAAATATCGCAAAAAAAGTCACATTTCATGTAGCACATTCATACAATCATGCAAAATTTTCTTTTCTATTTACACTGCAACAAAGTTATGTTTGTTTCTGGTTAGCTTGTGCTGATTTATGAGCAGCTTTCGTGGCGAGCTACCGGCAGTAGTTGCTCATTACAACTGACTCCTTTTACAACTGATAAACTAATAAACTAAACGTGCAATATGATTTGCAAAATATATTTTTTTTTTTATTTACAAATGAAAGAGACTAAAGTTTTTATTCGACTTTATTTTCGAATTTATAAACGCCAATACATTTAACATTTCTAACGTTTTCTTGCTCATTTAATGAAATAACACCACAATAATTGTATCTAAGAAATATTTTAGATATAATATTTTAAAAAAATATCTCTAATGAAATATTGGAAAATTTAATGTGGTCAACATTCATTGTATTTGAAGCCAAAGTTCGTTGTAAAATAATAATGGTGCACGAAATATTTTTTACAACTATCTATATTTATTTTTTGAGTTTTTTGTTAAACAAAAATTAAAACACCAATCATAATTATCTAGTACATCATTATTTTTACTTATTAATAATATATTTTCGGTGGGAATTCGTAAAGAAATCGAAGAAATTTACGATTATGTTAGAAAGATTGTTCCAGTAGGGCGCAAAGAGAAAAAAGAAATTATATAATGATTAATTAGTGATTTTGATATTAAACATAAAACAAGAAATAGATTTATTGGGGAGCCAGAAGCCATTTTATAATACTGTAGTAGCGTTGCACAATTATGTTCAATTTTGATATTGAATGTTCCTATACACAATTTTAATTCAGATACTACATTTTAATGCTCATAAATGTACAGTTCATATTAGAAACCATTCTTAAATAAGATGTATGAATACACCTTTATTGAAAATCTATATTGATTAGTGTTCCGAAAGAGAGGATTTACGTTGGCATGTTGGCCGTGTTGTATACCTGGGTCTGGTCAAACCCGGGTTATTGACCCGACTCGTATTTAAGGGTCGGGTTGGGATCGCACGATTTGATGACCCGTAATTCGCATGAACTCGACCAGACCCGTCGAGTCGGGTTATACCTTTACTTTGACCCGCCGACCCGAATCTTTTTATTATATTTTTAACTAGAAATTTAAACTTTTTTATATTACGGCTGTTTTCATAAGACCTGGGACAAACTAAATTTTTGAACATCCGCCGATCCGCCGATCCGCCGATCCGGTATTTTAGCTGGCACGTGATCCAGATTTGATAGTGATTTTTAAAATAAATAACAACTGAACCGGGTCGGTGGGTCGGCGGTCGGGTTCAAAAATTTATTTTGTCCCAGGTCTTATGAAAACAGCTGTAAATACAACTTGACGGGTCGAACCAGGGTTACTTTTACGCTCGGATCGAGTTCGAATACATCTCAAAACCTCGACCCCTTCGGAACACTATTAAAATTATTTTTTGATATTGTATTTGATTATTTTTTTAATATAATCCATTTAATAGTTTTTTTGATAACTGAAGACCCACACGAAAGATAAATACTACGTTCTTTAAAACCCTTATTTAAATCTCAGACTAAAGTAAATTATTACCACCTCAAAAATTTTTTTTTAAATAAGTGTTTGTGATTCCGATTTCCGATTAAAAGTTTTATATAAAATCTTAAGTTGGCATAATTGCATAAAAAAAAAAATATTGGCTTAAAATGTTATTTTCAAATCCGGTATTCGGAGGAAAAAAAATCCGGTTTATCAATGAAATAAAGTGAGTATCGATATAAAGAAATGAAATTCCCGATTGTGTGAATATACGCTAAATGAAATAAATCAGTTGTTGTAATTGTAATTTCTCTAAATATAAATAAAGAATTGTTTAAACTTTAAACATATTATTGTATGTGTAAATTTACGAAAAAAAATAATGATATGATGATTTTATATTTTTCACAAGGAACAGCTTAAAAAATTCAATACTGAATAACGAATGAATCTAATGGACGGCTAAAATAGATGGCTTTTTCATGACATAGTGAAGACTGAAGACTTAACTTTTCCAAATTTACGAATGGAACGTTAGTATCATCGAATTGGCTTGGTAAATCAGAAACCCAATTCTCTAAACATTCGGAGATTTGGGATGCCGTTGGTCTACTTGATGGACTAGAATTTAAACATTGCAGCATTAACTTAGAGAAAACGGGTGGAGTTCCACTAACAACACTTGGTCTTAATCCTGAACAAATTTGTCGTATGAGTTGTGAATCATGAGGTATATCACAATAAGGACGTACCCCAGCTGATAGCATCCACATGGTCATACCGAAACTATAGATATCAGATTCTTTGGTCGGCGTATTTCCACCAAATATTTCTGGAGCAACGAAGGGTATTACACCATAAGTTTGCGATATTTGTTTGTTAGCAGGTCCGTGTAATCCAGTATCGGCGATTTTAGCGTTAATTGAATTCATTTTTCTTTCAACTAATATATTTCCTCCGTGTAAATTTCCATGAATAAGACCAAGCTCATGAATGACATTAAGACCCGCGGATATTGACCATAAAATATCTACAACATCTCTCCAGCAAAGATTTCCCATAGATTCAGCGAGGTACGAATATAAATTCTCATTTTCATAATATCTCATAACGAACATGTAACAAGATGTCGGATCTTTAGTCATGCCAAAGTAATCTGCAAGTGCTCCATTTTGCAAACATTTGTAATATCTATATAACTATTGAAAAGTTAAAAGATGCAAATCAGTATTGATTTATGACTTCCACGGTATAAAAAACCTGGCGGGTCGAAATTCTTGGTGATATGATTATATGAAATAATACTTACTTGGTTTACAAATTCTTGACTCATATTCTGAGAATTATTCAAACGCTTTAGGATAACTTTAGTCGGGCCATTACGGGTCCATAATTCAGCTACCTCATCAAGATTCCACCTGGGTCCTTCCATCCATACTGCGGAATAAATCGAACTAAAAGCACCTCTTTTATTTATATTTTCAATCAAGTCAAGTTGGTCAAAATCAATCCATTCAAGATAGTCCATGCTCTCATTGGCGTTTAGTTGGGTATGCCTAATAAATAAATCTATCATGGAACTTCCGCTGGTCCAATTATTGAAATTTTCTTTCAAAAATGCAATATCACAATTCTTGCACCATGCTATCGCAGTTCGTTGTCGTTTGCAATCAGAACAATTGCCATATAAGCTTCCTAAAGTGAGTAAAGTCATAATTTAATTTTTCTACGAAAATTTATTCTATCTCGAAAAAGAGCGTGTCAGATTAAAAGGAACTTGAAAAATATAATAAAAGAAGAGAAAATTCTAAGCGTATTTAAATGTTTCATGTTTTGGCTATCAGTTGTGACACGTAACTCATTTATCTCGTACTGCATTTTGCATCTTCGATCATGTGAAGAATTCTCTGAAAAAGGAAATTCAAATCCTGATGTTAGGTACTATTTAGGAGAATTAAATTAGTATTTTTTTTTTAAAAAAAAAGCATTTTGTATTACCTTAGTAAAAAACATTCCCTATTCAAAAAAAAAAAAATGATCGACCGAGGTTACCCTTGTCATTATCGGGAACAAGCATTTAAAAATTTTTTATTTGAAAAATAATAAAATAATAAAATAAAATTTCGTTAGTTTGCAATTTAATGAAAGTATTTAAAAGAGACCTTATTTCTCGTGTATTATTGCTATGTCCTAACAAAAATTATGCAAAAATATCATCAGACGTTATGTATTATGTTTACTGTGCCTACTTGCAGATCTTGTTAATATCTTTCCCATGCGTTTCTATTATAATACCCAACCATTAGATCTCTCGGAAAATGATGATTTCTAGGTGAACTACCGTCTCTATTTCTTCATACCAACCTGTTAATATTTTCCATTATTAAAGTTAGTCCCACGAGTAATATCAAGTAACGTGATTGGTCGCTTGAGTAATTTCCAATCCTGCTACGTCCTCCACTCAAGCACCTGGAATGTGCATTCTTCCATACATCAATTTTTGTTTGCGTATATTAGTAAGTCTTAGATTTTTCAAAATGCTCCACTACTTGTTGTGCTACACAGTTAAGAGTACCAGGCATTAATCAATTGACATCTGGCTTTCGAATTCGATATAATTCATATACAACTATATTAGCATCAAGGTTTTATAGTCAGATTCTTTAGGTGCGATTCTTACCAAAACTTTTCATCAATTCTAACCCGGAAGCCTAGTTTTTGTTTTCTTTGTAAGAATAATATTTGGTCCCCTGAAGAATATTTTTTTATCAGATTTTTTTGATTCGCGAATGGATCGTATTTGTCAGTAATTTTGAAATGATCTTTATCTTTCTGAATAAATTTTACCCTTATAAGCAGTGTCTAAAATTGATGTGCGGAATTCGCTCCGAGCATGGTAATTAATTTGCGCACAATATAATTTATATATGTATACAAGTCCGACCTCAATTTTTTATTTGGATGTGCACGTGCGCACATAAAAATCATAAATTTTGTGGCTAAATGTGTCATCAGCACACTTAATTATGGAAGATATTATCATTTTTTTTAATAAAAAGAGTGATCAATTACCACGGCAAATAGTTGAGTTGAATATCAAATTCGGTTACACCCTGCTTATAAGAAACTTATCATTGTCCATTACATTCAAAATCTCTTTAGCCCGCACTTCAATCATTCCAGCATCATATGCTTCCACTTGTTACTTTAAACATATCTTTCGCTGTTTGAATTTCATTCTGCAATACTTTCCGATAAACTTGCCAAGGCACTGTTTAATCTAGATCCTTTGGATCTTTGGATCATTTTCTGAATCAGTTTCGAAATCAGTTTTTGAATCGCTATCCCGATAACATATCTGATGAGTCTGGCATTTCTTCCTCCGGTCCTTTATTATCAAATATCATAATTACTATTAGTTTCGGAATCACTATTGTATTTTCTCAAGCCTACCTGATTGCTTTGTTGGCCCTTCTGACTCCACTTCCAGTTCTGGCAAACCTTTCAACTAGCTCTGCTCTGGGCCTTTACAGGCAAAACGCTAGGGTATTACATGACCCAGTATAATAACAGGCTTCGGTTAAGGCTAAGTCACTATAAAAAATTTTATCCGCTATTTCTGTATAAACTCCACAAAAATGAGCCTTTCACGGATCCATTCACGGAAAATGTAAATAATTCGATAAATTCCGGGATATAAGGTTATTAATTCCGGAAATATGAGCCTTTTACGGAAAAAAGACGGAATATAAAAAACGTATCGACTTTTTTTACAGGGAGTTATTAATAGAGGTTTGCTAAAGCATCTACACTATATAAATTGTCTTTAAGTGCACGGTGGGCCTGGTCCTAACTTGTAAGAGCTCTTGATATTTTACTCTCTATAAATAATGCACACCCTCTTAATGCACATTTACTGTGCACTTAGAGAGGTGTCACTGTATGCAAATTTGCTTCTACGACTAATTATATTTTTTTTGCTTACCTCTATGAGGACTCATTTTGAGTGCATTTAGGTATGTCAGTTCATGAGAGGGTATATAAGAGGTGTATGGTGGGAGAGTGATCAATTTCTATATTTCTAGAACGCGTTCGATTACTCCGATAGTTAATTTACCTTTGCCTGTACGCACTCCCTGCTTGAAAGGTGGACATGGAGGTGTATAGTAGAGATATATGAGAGCGGGATATATAGGGTATATGTATACTTACCGTCGGAATTAATTACGGCACATGAAGCTTATAAAGTAATATATTAAATCGCTGTAACGCTGTAATTATTTAATGTCAAAATATAAAATTACACAAAGTAAGTAGATATTTTTTTCTGGTTATGCCGTAGATAATTTGTAATCCGTAAATCTATAATGCTGGTCTCAATGATTTGTTAAATATTTAAATGGTAAAGTCCGTATTTTGTGATGCAGTAATTTCAATTCGGCAATTCCGACGGCACCTCACTATAGGTACAGTATATGGCGAGTATATGATAGGTGACCCAAACTTCGTATAACAGCAGAGGGCGCAGCAGAACGATCGATTAGATAAACATATCAGGAGGGTTCTATGAATGGCGGGTATGAGGGGACCCAAATTTCGTGTAGCTGCTTGAGGAGCAGAGGGCGGCAGAACGATTTGATAATTAGATAAACATACCAGGAAGTGTTCTATGAGCGATTTACTTTGGTCTGCACACACTCCCTGCTGCTACATACTTGCGTATCAGCACCCAAGTTGAAGCCTGAAAGAATCTCTTGGCTGTTAACTCTGGTACTTATATTTCTCCAATTATAACGTACCCAGTATTGTTTTCGTACCTTCCATGAATGTTATATATACAGTATATGCTAAAATCAATGTCAGGATTAATAAATTACTACATTCTATTATTAAAATGCTATATTTTATTAACACTAATGTTTTTACTAAAAAAAAATGTCCTATTATTATTACAAAAAAAAAAAAAAAAAATTCATAACTAGAATTTAAGAATTACACAAAAAATTCAAGTATACCTTATAAAGTTATGTGAATAAATTTTCTTAAATATTTTTCGCCTGATTTTTAGTTTGATCAAAGTGCTCTTTACAATACAAAATAATTGTTTGTTAAGAAATTACTTATGAAAATATCCATAACTTCATAATAATACTTTATACTTGAAGTTCGAACTGTTGCTAAAATAATAAAAATGCTTCTTTATTGTTTAAAATATATTCCTTTAAAATACAAAAGGGGGAGATTGTCATTAATTATGGTAAATGATTGTGACGGAGATGATTTTCAGGATGTGATAAAAAGTTAATTCTGTGATTTGGCCAGAATTATACAAGGGATCAACCAATATCACGACTCGCAAATTCCGGCCGCCATTACGAATCCTAAATCAGGCCAAAATTTTAAAATTATCACCATTTTATAAACCCATTCTGTGATTTCCCTTGGAATTCTGTGAAAATCATCGTCCCTAGGCTTGAATTGGAACCTAGAATATTATCCTTGAAACCGGGATCTAGGGCCGCTGGGGATCCGTACAAAAAAATCATGTGTCACATTTCAAGAGACCTACAATAGGCGCAGCGTACATTAAGTTATGATTGAGGTTATTATTCTTTCATTCTTACATATGGTACACATATGACTGCATAAAATTTCAAAGTTTTTTACATTTCACTTACATAAAAAATTTTGAATTTTTTATATCATTGCTGAGTAGTCGATAAACCAATCAGATCGCATTACGTATCGAACCACAAAATACAGTAACATATTATTGATTTATTGGCGCAAAAAACAATGATAACGTGTATCACTATAATGAATTTTTATTATATTATATTGAAAAATTTAATTATTATTTTAAGTATTTTTTAAGGGTTACGAACGTTTCACCGAAATCCATCTCGACGAAAGGACATTTCGCCGAAAATAGATTATTATTTTAAGTATTTTTTAAGGGTTACGGACATTTCAGAAATCCATTTCGCCGAAAGGACATTTCGCCGAAAAATAGATTATTATTTTAAGTATTTTTTAAGGGTTACGGACATTTCACCGAAATCCATTTCGCCGAATAATAAATTATTATTAAGTATTTTTTAAGAGTTACGGACATTTCACCAAAATCATTTCATCGAAAGGACATTTTGCTGAAAATAGGGTCAACATTATGTAGCATTATGAATAACTCAGGCCAAAGATTATTTTTCGGCGAAATGACTTTCGGCGAAATGTTCCGGTACCATTTTTAAGAGAGATACTGTAATTAAAATTGATACATAAATAGATTACGTGATTTTAAAAAATTTTTAAAATGAAATTTTATTATTATATCACTATATAAATATTCTTTTTGTTCATAAAATAGAAATTTTTTCAAAACAAATTCTATACTTTAGCGCCGCTGTAAGTCTATAACAGGTTTATGTACTTTAATTAAGTTGTTTATTACTAGGTTTTATTCCGTTTAACAGGTTGGATTTTCAGCATTTTTAAAAAAACAATCAGAGTAAAAAACAGTATAGTAAAAAATAGTGTAAAAAATACGAACACATCTATGAATGTGTGGTTACTACTTACTACAAGTCTACAACGAGAAAATGTTAATCCTTTATAATAAATTTCACAAAAATTCTTGGGTATATTTAATAAAATTTTTGAAAAAAAAAATCGGTATAAATAACAATTCTTTGGTATATTCAATTACTGTAATATTCGATTACTATATTCATAAAAAAAAAAAAAAAAAAAAAATAAGAAAACATTCGTTATAAAAAAAAAATCCGTTATAAATACAATTCACCCTTTTTATAGCGAATTTTTATATAGTGAATAACTTGTTATAATATCAGATACAGATTTTTTTTTATGTATAATAAAATAATAAAATGATCCTCAGACCTCAATATAGTGAATTTTTTACTATAACGAATTTTAATCTCCGATTCGCTACGAAATATTAACAAAAAAAAATTTTTTCATATATCAAAAATCCGTATCACGTTTCAAGATTCGCTATATTATCGTGTTTATTCGTTATAGGCCCTTTATTTGTTTGGACTTTGGACCTCAATGGTTGAATCATCAATATTAAATATCAATAGCTTTATTTGCGTACATACAATAACTACAATATGTACAATGTTGAAAATGATAAATATTTATTTATACTAGTAAATTATTATTACAGTAATTATAAGGTAGTATTGTCGGAGATTCGGAATTAATTTCTAAACAATAAGAATATAAAAAGAAAGAAAAAAGTTTGCAGTAATAACTCTATGTAAAGCATGATCTGCATTACCCGTTAGATATTGTACGGTTGTATTTACATTTACTTCGCTGAACGTTACCCAAATGTAAGTACAAAACCCACAATACCATAAATTACAAATGAATACCATATGTTCTACGATATTATTATCCTGGCGAATCCGACCCTAAATTATATCTTCATGATTTAACTCACGTGGTCTTTACAACTTTTTTAAATTTTGGCCGGAATTATAAATCGCATGCTATCGAGAAATTCACGCATCTTTTTTTGATATTTTAATGCAATTCTTTTTTTTATTTTTATTTATTTATTTTTTTTCTTCAAGTAGTAAATTAATTAAATCTATTAATTATTCATATCTAACAGTTAATACTACTCAAAGTAAATAATTAAGCAAGATAAGAATAAAATATTTACATAATATATAATACAGGAGGAGGAGGAGTAGGGGAAAATAAAAAATATACAATAATTACAAAAAAAAAAAAAAATTTTTAAAAAATTAACTAGGATTTACCTCGTTCTATGATGCGATAGCATTAGTAGTAGTGTTCCACCAAACTCTTTCTTTTTCATTTATTTCTAACCTAACATCTTTCCATTTTCCTAATGGATTATTATCATTATTTACTGAATTTTTAATATAAATTATATTTTCATCATCGCTATAATTACTTTCACTTTCACTTTCACTCCCATTCACACTTTCATTTTCACTTTTAATGCTTTCATTACTCTCATTACTCTCATTATTCTCATTACTTTCATTACTCTCGTTACTCTCATGACTCTCATTACTCTCATTATTCTCATTATTCTCATTACTTTCATTATTCTCATTATTCTCATTACTTTTATTACTTTTTTCAATATTCTTTAATAATTTTTCTTCGTTTATATAAACGAATTTTTCTTCACCGAAATTAACTCTGATTTTACATTTACCGTTAGCACCAATAGAAGGGAATAAATAATATCTTTTTTCATTTAAAGCATCATATTCAACTTCAGTAGTGAATAAAGTACCCAAGATGAAACCATTAAACGTAAAATAAATTTCACCAGAAAGTGGTTTATAACCACAACCTATAGTAGTATGAATATTATTCCATGATGGACCATATTCCCATCCATTATACATTGAATTTTGATAAACTTGACCGTTATTTGAATGATAACCTATTGAATATTCAGTATGACCTGGCAATCTAATTATGTGAATAAATTATTATTATTAGTTTATGTGATGAATTTCATCAAGAATAATAGAGTATATAAAAAATTAATTATTAATTACCTATAACAAGGAAAAGGTTTTGTTGCGACACCAATCACAATATTCGTATTCGGATCTTCTTTTTCCAATATAGTAATTTCAAAATAATTAAAACCTTCACCATCTTTATATTCTTCTATTGTTTCTTCAATCTTTGAACTTTTACGTGTAATTAATTGTTGTAAACGTTTCTTTTTTTGAAGTTGTTTTTTAATTTTATCACTAATAGATTCTCCGATTTTCTTCTTATCGATTACATCATCAATTTTCTCATCGATTAAATCATCGACTTTCTCATCGGTTAAATCGTCAACTTTTTCATCATTCTTTATGGTTTCTCCTTCAACATTATTATTTCGTGGTAAAGGAACATAAAAAGGATAATTTGATTGTACACAAGCATCTTTTACTACGCTACTCCAAGATTTAGGATTAATATCAATGATCCTACCACCATTCATCACTTTAATAGTATTCATTTCTTTTGAAGCCACTTCAGGAGCAAATTCCCAAGGTTTATTAAATTTTTTAATATTTTCATCAAGTATATAATCAACATCATCATTTTTATTATTATTATCAACAGGATTAGAAGAAAGAGGAGGAGGTAAAGGAAATTTATCTACTAAAATTTCAATATTATTATTATTATTATTATTATTATTATTATTTTTATCTAATAAAAAATTTTTTAAGAAATCATTTCTTAATTTAGTATTATTATTATTATGAATAATAATATTTATATTTGATAAAGTTGTTTTTGCTCTTTTTAATAAACTATAATGAAGATTATTACTTGAAGTATTATTAGTATGAGTCCTAACTGATATGGTATGACGATTCCTAATCAAGGCATTTTGTGGTATAATCAATGTATCACTTGTATCAAACATCTCGAAACTATTCAATCTTGTCGTAGATAATATTTGATTATTATTATTATTATCATCATAATCATCATCATCAATATTATTATTATTATTATTATTATTATTATTACTTTCTATATCAACAATAGAAGTTCTTCTTCTTTTATGTAAATAAATATATGATAATCTTAATAATATTAAACAAACGATTAATAAAACCAAAATTATTGCAATTGTTATATAACAACTTATTGAACATACTAATTTATTATTAGAAGGTGATGATGATGATACAGTAGATGATGATGATGAGATCGGTGTTGGTAAAGAAGTAGTGATGGAAGAGATAGAAGAAGTTATTTGCGGGAATGACATTTTTTTTAAAAAAAATAAATAATAAACAAAATAATATAATAATAGTTATTATTATTATTATTATTATAACAGAATAATTAATTATAATGAATTTTTTATAATTGATAATAGAATGATACTAAATTTTTTCTTTTTACAGAAAAAAAAAAATTTAAAATTTTTTTTTGTATGAAAAAATTTTTTTTTTTTTTTGGATTTTGCGGGGGAAATAAAATTGTATGAATCGATTCGAAATTTATATAAATATTAAGAAATTTTTTTTTTACTTAATCTTTATTTGGAGATTATCAAATATTGTGTCCAGTAAAAAAAAGATTTTTTATTACGGAATGATAAGAAAATAAATATGAACAAAATAGTAAAAATAAAAAAATATAAAAATATAAAAATAAAAAAGAGGAGGAAAATAAAAAAGATTTTTTTTTTTTTAATAAATAAATATAAATAAATAA